ATAATCAGACGATCAACTCCAAATCGAAAGTGAGTTCACCTTCTTTCTCGACTCGCACTCCGCTGGGTTTTGGCGGAGGAGGATCAAGAAATTTTCTGAGTGATGGAGACAAGTGGTGGACACTCATGGTAGATATACCGGTCAGAAGTTGTAACCAAAAAAGATAAAATTAAAATCAAAAATTTGAAAAAGTGTTGCAAGACTTTCTTTCCAACCTAATAGAAAATTAGTGCTTTTGGAAAAAAAAACACTTGAACTTCCTTTGAGGACCACATTTTCAAAAAATAATTCCGTAGCTCCGTGTATTTCTTTGATGGCTTTTTTCACCCTTCTCCTGGAACGCGAGTTCCCAACCTTCCAACGTCAACGGTACTTCAAAATTGATACAATGAAAAGCAATAAAAATCAGTGCTGTTTACAGGATCAACGCCTCACAGCATATGCTAATCCTTCAAAAGCCTTAAAGGCTAAAACCTTTCTCTTGACAGAATTTTCAGTTAGGGCTCTAGAAGTCAATTCGAATTTGTTGCACTCTCGCCCACTTTCGTTCAGTCTGAATGCGTCGGAATTTTATGAAAAAAAAATGTCCTGCTTTAGGACGAGTCATTCAATCATCTGTGATTAGCAGTCCAAAGGTAATTGGGAGTCCATCCTTGCCACTTTGTCATGTCTCGGAACCTCCGAATTTTACAAGTTGAATAACACTTGAACTTACGATCCCCTTCTATTCAAAAAAAATACGATGCCCTTGAGGTTTGTGAGAGGATAGAAGCTGCTACGGGCGCTGATTGTTGTGTCATGTCTCACATTCAATCAGCTCGACCAAACTATGCGATTCAATTGTTATTTCGTGCAAAGGAAACAAGTGTTTAGGGTACATTTGGAAGTTTCCCGGGAAGGTTTCTCGGAATTGCGCCAAAGAATCCTCTAATTATGATGTAACACAATTTGCTACTTTGCTTTATGAATTTTCAATTTATGTACAGTTTACCGCCTGTTTTTGAACATTACAGTAGAAGTTTGATTCTTTAGGAACAAGAACTGTATGGATTCCAAGACAGCTTCAATTTCCGCACAAAAGTATCTGATAAGGAAGAAACTATGCTGTTGAGAACAAGATAACGCCCAAAATGTAGTTCTCTGCGATGCTCGAGCAAAAATGTTCAATAAGGCCATATTTGTTGATCAACCTTGGCAACTGTTTGCATCAAATTGGAGGTGCAAAGCTTACATAACTCATAGCATCGGTTGGACGCTTCTGAAGCAAGGCGTGGCTCCTAGAAAGGTGAAACTCACATCTCCCAAAAAATGTCCTCGTTGGGAGGAACTTGCAAATCCTCTTCAAGGTTCTTGATTCGTCCTTTTTGAAAAATATAATGCTGTTTAGATATGAACACGATTTCAACTTCTGCATGTAATGCCCTCCAGTGCAAATGTACACGTTGTATCAGCAATCATTTTTTTATTTGTGTACGCAGCAAAGGGTTGTGCATAGCAGCCACTGGTACTGCGTGACGAGGGTTGTACTTGATTACTTTTGTCAACGCCTCTGTCGAGTGGTTCCAAGTCGGTCGCAGATCAACTACAACCTATACCACAATAAAATATTGACTTTTTCAGACATAGGACCACCGTACAGTCAGCAAACTCTCCAACATGAATGCGCGTAGATATCGCCATGTCCTTCGACTTTATACATTACTGCGCGCACCGCATGGCCCATAAGTCAGATGTCACAAATGTAGGGAAGAGGCATCGTAAGCTTGCTCTGAAGACTACTACACATATATACCCTGTTTCATGCAGCCAGAAACCCACGTGACACACGTGGCTAAATTCTCGATGAAAAGGTGACATCACCTGTGCTCAAAGGTGTTCTTGAATCGATGCCACGTTAATGCCACGTCAATTTCTGCAGCTGCACAATTTCTGGTCATTTGGAGGCGAGGGTAATACAAGACAGTCCACCCGCAAAAAATTATTAATAAGCTTCCCATTTAGTTCACTCTTCTGAAGAAGACGAGTTTGAAGGGTGTCCTATGGAGCGAAAACGAAGCAACGAAACAAAAACGAAAGCGGGTAAAATCAATTAAAGGCTCTATTCTGCTCATAAATGACATGACGATTAATGATCGCAACATTTCCACTGTTAAAAGATAACACCGTACGGGGGAGGCGGTCATATGGCGCGGTCACATTGCCATTGGGGCGCATGGGCTGTAATTGCCACCGAAGCGCCTCTCATATCTCGACCAGATAACTCGTCCCGATCACCGAACAATTAGATTATAGTGGTTGATCTGTCTACAGTGGAGCACGCCGTAGACTGGACTGTAAAGTTCACCATTCTCTACCCATCCTCCCTCTTCATTCTTGCGCTGAGTTCGCTTTTCACACATCACCTAGGAATGACTGTAGAGTTTCTTCGAAGTGATAGTGTGACGATTATTTTGGAGCTGTAATACATTGCACTTCCCAGCGACTTGCAGTGCATGGTGACAATTCCTATACGTGGGAAGTATTGTTCAGTTTTTTTGTTTAGCGAACAGTGTATTGGAAAGTCTTGTCTTTATCTAAACTAGGCGGTTCTTAGGAATTATTCCTGAAATCCATTCAGAATGGCTTACTTGCTGTCCTCATCTAAACCTAAACAGTACCACGGTTGTAGCTCGTTTGAATTTCTGCACTGCAGCTTCATTTCTCATACTTTTTGTTAGTGTGCGACCACTTACGGTCCCCCTTCAGTAACTTATTCGGTGTTATATTACACCTCTTTGAGTTTTCTGGTGAAATTCTATGTCCTGCCTCACTTTTTGAGAATGACACTCATCAGCAATATTACTGGAGGAGACAATGAAACGTGCGATGTTGCATATAATATGCCTGAGGAAGTCACAAGGACACAGAGAGTGGGATGAGACATGCCTTTGGCAAAGTAGAACTGAATCACAAGAGTTGAAAACAAGTATCTCATTACCCCAACGAGGGGAGCATTCAGTAGAATGGGATCACGGTTGAGGAGAAAACGTCGAAAATAACACATTACCAAAAGACAGTAGATAAATTACTCGGTTAGGAGAGTCCAATCAGGTCAGAAAAACGAGCTGTTCTATCTCGAACACTGGGTCTATTCCAATAGAGGCATGTGGTGCGGTTTTTGTACTGCGTACAGTAATGCCAATTTTGTAGGGGAGGAAACCCTCAGGGTGCGTGATTCATTCCGCTTCCACTTTAAGATCCACCTTGGAGTTCCTTACCCTGCTGTGTGGTCGGAATAACACGCCAAGACCATTTTCACTTTCTTTCGCAGTTATACAACATCTATAACCGCATACTTATCTTAGAAAGCCATAGGAAATAAGCCAACAAATGCTGCCTGATTAATTTCAAAATTTCAAACACGGTTATTGATTCTCACGTATTCATCAAATAGCAGAAAATCAAGGAACTTCAACGCTTATCTCAAAGCTTTAGAAAAGGAAATCCAAAAAACCACTGGTGATGAAGCCAGAATGAAACTTGAACACACTGTTTTCTGAACAAAAAACTAAGCAACACTTACCGCGTATAGAAATTGTTATCATTGACTGTAAGTTGCAGTGAAGTGCAATGTATCACAGTTCCAAAATGATCGTGACACAATCACTTCGAAGAAACTCTACAGTCATTCCAATAATTGAAGTGAACAGAGCGAATTCAGCGCAAGAATGAAGCCGGAAGAAGAGTCGAGAATGATGAACTTGGGAGCAGGGTCAACCCTATGTTGCTACAAGTAGCAACGGGGGGGTCGTATTTCGGTGAGTTTGTAGGGGGGTCGCACTTGCTGGTTGTAAGAAGTGGCATGTGATGAGAGGGGAGCGGCGCGGGAGAAAATTTGCCGTTTCAGCGCGCGTATATGTATACCCATATACCCCCCTAGAAAATGGAGCAGTCGAACGGTTTTAAGGGATATATATACCCCCCCCCCTCGACGGTAAATTTTTGGGGTAAAAAGTGGTCGGAAAGGGGGGGGGGTCGTAGGAAACTTTCCTGAAGGAGGGGGGTCGTAAAAACTTTTCGAAAAGTAGCAACGATAGGACTGACCCTGCTTGGGAGGCTTTACAGTCCAGTCTGCACTAGCGCGCTCCATTGTAGACCGACCAACCACGATACTCTATTCTTTCGGTATCCGAACGAGTTATTTGGTCGACATAAGGGAGGCGCTACGGTGGCAACTACAGCGCATGCGCTCCGTTGGCAATGTGACAGCAGAATTTGGTATACACCCACCGCACGGTACTTAATATAGTGTCTGCATGTGGCAATCACGCGTTATCTCTCCGCAGGGTACAGAAACGACGCTACCGCAGCGTCAACAATAGCGAAAACGATTAACATCAAGAGCAGAACAATCCATATCGCAAAGATACTGAAATCATTTTCGTTGTACCCAAACAGAAAAATGGCGGGAGTTACTACATCGGCGAGCCTCAATTTAATATTCTTTACAAAACCAACAATTGAGATTTGAGATCTCGTTTGGTCTTCAAAACGCTTAACCGTAAAGGTTTCCAATATCAGAGTGGATTAGTATCATTTCAATTAATCTCCTACCAGCAAATCTGAAGATTCCAGCAACAGTGTTTCTGCCAACGAACATCAATGAACTTTTATGTGTCACATGCTTGCGAAAAACTTTCCTTAAACCTATACTTTCAAAAATGATGAATTTCAGCGGTCATAATTCCCATTTTTTTCGATTGCTTACACCTTCCAGATGTTAGATGTGTTACCCTTCCATGCGCTTTAGCTCTGCATGGGAGATAGGCGTGAAATCAAAGGCGCTACGTACAAATATAACTCACGTTGCACCTGCTGCAACCCTAGGCTGTGATCCTCTCTCAATTTTTTCTCCGGCCACATTTTGACGTTCTACCTGGTAGAGTTCAGGAATGAGTCGAAATCCTTTTTCGCACAAAACTACGACCTCAAAAGCATTCAGTAGTAGAACGAGAATTCGATCATAAATTTAACTGATTTGATCTTACACTCTCCAAGCGTTGCCAGTAGTCTTCAACGGCTTCATCGTTTTTGTTGTACATGGCATCTAACATTAGAAGACAAAGAAATAGAGGCCATTCACATTCAATATTCTCAAACTGTTGCAATTCTGACTTGTTATAGTACAGTCGGTAAGGATCCTAAAATAACAAGATAGGAAGGAAAAATTAGTAAATAGTAATGTTACGAACTTCGAGAGCCGTTTTATAACCATCGCGGAGGAATCTTCTGCAACCATACTTTCCTAGCAACTGCGTTGTAATAGTGTCACGTGTCTGTTCCACCAACTCAGCATCCTCTACAGAGAAACCAGGATATGAGATTATTGTTAACAGTGCTGCGTCCGTTTCCTAGAATGATGGGAATTTGAGGCACCACAAATGAATGGCTGACTAAGCCGTGTGGTGATGCAATCCCGTTCGTAAAATCGCGCCGGTCCTGAAGACCAGCGTAGAAAAAGCCAAGAAGCGCAATGTCATCACTGTGGACCATTATTTCGTGATTCCACTATTAATCATATTAGAAATTTCTCTAAAGATAGTAGTTGAAAATTACCTTACTGAATGACTCCCTTGGAAGCATGCTGCTCAGCACAGCAGAGCATTGCTCAATCTCGTCTGGTAAAACATGTATAGCTGACCTTCGAGATCCATCCCCAAACAGGTCGCCCACATCATTCATAGCCTAGAAAGCAACGACATTCACGAATGCGTCACAAATCAAGATGCACCTCATTCTCGAACACGTATGTACCTGCAGAGCAGCTTTCACCATTCCAATTGAACTTGCATTAAGCTCTCTTATTCCTTGATTAGTCTTGTCACCACGTTCCCAGATCCCAAAATCCTGAAGCATAAAAAAACGCTGAGCGCTGAGCAATTCTGAGCTGTAACCGTAGTAAAACATAAAAAACGCGAGCGCTCAGCATTTCTGAGCCGTGACCGTAGTTAAACATTGAGGCACTTGTGTGTAGGTCGTTAGGTACATACAGATGTAAGTGGAACTGCGCATTCAAGTTGTGCCAAAATAGTTCCACAAGCATTGTTCCCAAGACCTCATAACCACGAAACTTTGCTACGCTTATACGTAGCACTTCAACGCAACTCGAGATCTTGTACCTGTTTGGAAAACAACTTTTACCATTGTGCCCAAAGACCGACTTCGTTTGTTGGTTTCACCAGATCTCGTTCCACAAAGCCGCTGCCCAAGATTGCGGAGCAGAATATGGCCACTGAAGACCGGCTCTGTATCAGTGGCTAAGTGACCGATTATATGGAATCCCCGAACGGCAGCATGTCATCTTGCTTGGACCCAGCTCTTCATGTGGAGTTATATCGATGTATTCAATTTGTGCCTTCAAGTATGCAATATGAAAGTTGGGATCCTGCTGAATTCTATGCACTCGAAACGATATTGTCCCGCAAAACGAGTTTACAATACACTATAAGTCCTTCTTATTCTATCAGGTTGGTCCATAAGTCTTGTAACAACATTGAATCCTAGAAAATTTTGTGAGAACCCTAAACCCGCAACATGTTCGCTTACGTAGCACCTACCTTTGCAAATTCAGGCAACCATCCAGCTCGTTGTCTCGCTACTTGTTCTGGATCATCGATTTCGGGAAAATGTCTTCGTGCCCATAATTTTTACGAACACTGCTTGGAATGTTCCGCAAGTCATGCAACACCAAGGATTAGCTAGAAGATGAACGAGGGCACGCTAGCTCATTTCACGGGGCGCAGGCGCTTCACTCTGCTCAGCGCTGATTTCTTTTCATTTGAAGATGATCCACACTCCAACCACCCCGTGACTGACAATCACGATGCTCTATCTGGCGCTGCTGAAAAGGGGTATGGATAGTCTATCAATCATTGGTCAAAGCAATTTCGATGCAACAAGGATACAGCACAGTGGCATCTCCAAAGATATGTAAAAGTCCGAAAATGTAGAGTTTGGACCGCACATGCCTTTCATCCGAATCAGCTCTAAACACGATCTGACATCGACACGTTCATTTCGACCTTACTATGGATTCTTTGATTGACTATCCACCAAATTTGAGGACGACGAGGATGGGGTACAGTGTGTTTACTAATAATAAAACGGCGACAGTCTAGCTCAAACTCTTCGGGAGTTCTTCCTGCTCAAGTTCAACCTCTTCCAAGTAGGGCCTTCTTGGATTTTTGGTGGTATACAAGAGAAGTTGCGCTTTGGGAACTCTTCGTGTAGATGTCGCATTCAACGCGGAAGCCAACCGTCAACAGCATGATAACAACGCTTTCAATACAAAAGAAAAACAATGCAAAGTTTGCTTTCTTATGACCCCTTGAACCAACTCTTGCTAAGAAAATCTAGGAAAATTTTAGGACTCTCCGACAGAGAGTTCTTTCGCATCCACCTTATAGCTCCGAGCTCGAGCCAGAGGATGCCCACCTGCTTCCCTCTCCAGACCACGTCCTAGAGAAGAAATCTCATCTCAACCATCGTGATGTCAAAATCGACACCTGATCTTTCTTCGATTAGCATTCAGCAGAATTCTACAAAAGAGGCATCGAACGGCTTCTGGTGCGTTGGCAGTGTGTTGTAGATATTGATAATGTGTAGCATGCTGGATGAGTGGAACAAAAAGATAACAAAAATATTAAAATCAAAATTTAGCTAGTTTGTTGCAAGACTTATGGACCAACCTAATATAATTCGAAGCACAATGATGATGAGATGTATGAGTTCTCCTTATGCTTCTATCAAAGTGTTGATATGTAACAGGTCACTTTCACGGCTCGGCTAATATGATTTTCTCCAGTGCCGGAGCTCAGCGAATGAACTGCTACTTGATGGTAAGAGAGAGCCTTCCACTTGTAAACATACAACTATTCATGAACTCCTTGGCTCCAATTCCTTCATGAAACAATAATCCAACTATTGCTGTTTTCTTGGAGCGGCACAGTGACTTCCATTCAGCTAGGAGCTGGCAAAAGTGATAACTCCTTTCGCGTCGTAATTGTGCTGATATGTAACATAGGTTGATTTGCCGACGTGAGACAAAGTTTTGCAGAAGTTTCGCAGTCGAAAGTGAGGACATGGTTAATTGGTTGTTGTTTGTTGTGACTTTGTTGTAGCTTTGTTCTAAGAACAACGATTTGTAAGAATTGTAGGTCTGACGAAGCTGCTAATACAGCGAAAGCCCCGAATAGGATACAAATGCATGGAAAAAGCCATCATCCCGAAATTATTCGAGAAGGTATACAATCACATGAGGCTCAGAAACAACAAACAATTTCATATTTGACTTAATGTTACACCAGTTTAGGTGAGCACGTTACATCGCGCGAAAGACGACCGCTGAGGATTGACTTACTCGTGGGATGATCATTATCGAGACGAGCAACGATGCAGCTTACGAGGAATGCTCAATTGGTCAGTCCGGCCATTTGTAATGAGGTGTAGTCCGCTGTATTCGACTTGCGACGCTGAGCTCAAATCCGCTTTCGGTATCTGCGGAACGATTCTCTGAAAGAAGTTACGAGGGATTCTTCTCACCGTGGCTTTCTCACTATGGCGCCCTCTACATCATCGCATCCCTTGCCACGCTCACGTTGAGCCGGTGAGGAGTTCCAGATGTGGTACTGGTGGTGCAGTGGATAGCACCTTTGCTTCATTTTGGTGAGGTCAGATGTTGAAATCCTTGCTCATCGCAAACCTTTGCATTTTTCCAGGGCTCCTCATACGAACTCAAAATGTGTTTATATTTGGATATTTTGTCGTTTTGCGTCCCACTTTCACATCTGGAGAGTGCAGACTCTGGAATCTCCTTCTCGTGCTCATTTTTTTCAGTTCTCCGTTAAGATGAACTTGGACACACAGAAGCTCTTAAATTAACAATATTTCGAAAAGTTATTCCAGCTCTACGAGCAACTATGATAGTCCCTCACAAAATGATCAAAACAAAACAGATGTATAGTATAATAGATGTAATGGGGGCGCAAAACGACAAAATATCCAAATATAAACACATTTTGGGTTCGCAGGAGGAGCCCTGGAAAAATGCAAAAGTTTGCCATGCGCAAGGATTTGAACACCTGACTTCACCAATATGAAGCAAACATTCTATCCACTACACCACCAGCACCACACCCAGAGCTCATCACCGGCTCAACTTGAGCGTGGCAAGCGGGATGCGAGGATGTAGAGGGCGCCATAGTGAGAAAGCCACAGAAGAATCCCTCGTAACTTCTTTCAGAGAATCGTTCCGCAGATACTGAGAACGGATTTGAGCTCAGCGTCGCAAGACGAGTACAGCGGACTACACCTCATTACAAATGGCCGGACTGACCAATTGAGCATTCCTCGTTAGTTTAGCTCCTTCGCTAATTTAGCCAATTTTAATTGGGAGTGTAGCACTTTGTTGAGTTAAAACTTGTCAAGTTCCATTTATTCATTTTATACTCTAGCGAGTAATATAATCGGCCAGCTTTTAGAGGATCAAAGCTGACAATTACGTTCGACTGGGAAGTAAAGATTCAATTGTTGAGGAGATTTTCAGTCGAAGATGAAGGCACGGCGGTCTAGCGAAACAGCTTCTATTCATGACGGAGTTCGTGTTTTTAGAGAGTTTAATATTGAAAATAATCGGCTGAAACCCTTGGATCAACAGGGTGGCAGGGTGATTCGCTAACTGATTCGAGCCTTCTGCGAAAAGCCGATATCTGACGATAATGATTGATACAACATGCCCAAGAAACTTCGATGGTTGTGACTTCATCCACTTTGTAGTGTATTCCGGTCCTCCTTGGCAAAAACCAATACTTTCGATTGATAATGACTGATAACATGCGATCCTATGGAATCTCAAGAGGTGAGGCTCACCCAAATACAGTTAACGTACATGATTCACAAACCTCGATCTACTATTCTTTTCCTCGGTTTCCGGGCCGCCTTAATGGAACCGAATTATTAATTCCGTGGAAAAACCACCACTTTCGCGCACGTCTCCCCCACAATTTACACTTGGTTTGCATTACCCTCTTTCTTTCGCAAATACGTTATACCATGACGTATTAGTTACTATCGACTTTGACTTCACTGTGCAGTGAGTAGGGGTGATGACGGAGAATGACTTATTGAAAAAGAAGAATGTCTTCGAATTAATTTCGCACTCCTTGAGGTTACACACTTACACCTGAGACCGTTTATTTCCTCATTCGCAAACAAATTCCTATTTTTCGAAGCGAAAATTGTACCTATTCGTAATACATTCACTTTGCTCACGGCACTAGGGTTGCATTAGTGAAGTAGGTGCCGGCGACCGTTTTACTATTCAAGCAGAGTGGCAGCAACGTATTCTGTCTCGTCCTCTCGTCGCTGTCGCCGCATCTGTGACGTCATTTGCACAGCTCGCGGAGGTAAGCAAACCAGCCCTTTTGGCGTTTCGGCTGGGACCGTATGCTGAATGTTGGGGAGGGGATGGGGTCTTCAACGGTCGACGGTTTACTTCAAATCGGTTGGTACGATAGGAGAGTACTGGCACAAGTGGTGCAGCTGGTCCAGCAGCTCCGCCAGAAGGGCTACTTTGCTCACCCCAGGACTAAGCCTTGGGGAGGGGACGGACCCGTCCTCTCTTCAAAGCTTAGTTCCGAGGTAAACACCAAATTGTGACGGTTCTGAGGATCGAGTTGAGGTGGTCCGACCACCGTCGGTGACTCCATCCCCTCCCCAACATTCATCATACGGTCCAGCCGAAGCGCCAAAAGGGCTGGTTTGCTTACGTCCGAGCTCGCGTCCGCGCCGCCGGTGAGCTTTTCTCTCCACCTCTCCGCCTTCGTGGAACCGAGTTATGATATTTGTAGGAATCTTCG